GTCTCTTATTATAGACCCAGCCCTTGTCTTTTTCCCCCAAATTTAGGGGGCGGGGCGGGAGTGGGCGTGGCTAGCTTCCTGACACGTCAGGTGACTATCCATGTGACTTACCACTCCCCTCTGCCCAGTTAAAGTTGCCACCGGTAAACTGCAAGTGCCCCTGATTGGCACCTTTAGTGATGGGCGATACTATCGAAAAGTATCGAAGTAATCGATATTTTAGTGATGGGCGATTCCGAGTCCGGAGTATTCGATTCCGAATGGAATCGTACTCGTATCGAAAGAGAAGTAGGAATCGTTTGAAACGATTCCAAATCAAACCACACCCAGTCACACCCTTTAATATTAATAATAGTTAACTAATCAGTAGTTAACAAATCAATTATGTATAGGTTATACACCGAGGTAGAGGTTTCTATGGTATTTATTAACCGAGCGACGCAGTCGCGAGGTTAATAAATACCATAGAAACCGATACCGAGGTGTATAACCAACTTCTACTATGACACTTGAAAAACAACTACCAGCTGCTGATAATAAGACCACAGTTGACATACATACAACATATCTAACAGGCTAGGCCAGTAAAGAATCAACCAAACTTGACAAATGGACTAATAAGAGCATAAGCGTAGAGCACCAAACTGCCAATCAATTAATTATTTAACGAGATAGGTTTATATTTTTACGAGCTAGGTTAATATAAAAAATAATTGACCTCCAATACTGCAATCTGATTGGTCAATCACAAGGTGGCATGGTAGAATCATCATTATTGCATTTTTATTGCTGTAATTGATACCACGTGGCTTTGCGCATGCGCAGATGTAATACTCGGAATCGGTATTCGATTCCATCGATTCCAGTCTCAAAAGTATTCAGAATCGGAATCGAATGCAAATTTCTGGAATCGCCCATCACTACGATATTTATCGATAAATTTACGGTATCGTTAGTTATCGATTACTTGCAAAAGTATCGGGCTCTGAAATGTGATTACTCTGCGCATGCGCAGTTAATTAACACGTGCTGATTTATCCAATTAACACGCCTGAAGACTGAAGGCTGAACTGTAAAGTGACTGGAATTACTCATGGTAAACAATGGAACTGGAGACTAGTTCCCTTAGGAACTTAGAACCTACTCAGTCCAGCCAAAAATGTTGATATGATACTTTTTTTAATAAGGTGTGGGTGATTAGGACCTTTTATTCATTACTTCTGGAGTTTCAGTTTATTGATAAAAATTACAATAAAGTAATCACATATGTAATCAATACTACCGATACTAAGATGAATAATAATCAGTATTGTATCGATAAAGAAAAAACTAGTATCGCCCATCACTAGGCACCTTTAATTTGAGCTGAGCCACACCTTCAATTGCAAGCTAAACAGATAGCCAGCAAAATTCTTTCTAAAGTTTTTTGAAAATTTGTTTCACTTTTGTTGTGTTACACTGATTGTGGTGAGGACATGTGCTATAGTCCACTCGTTAACTACAGCTGTGGTGTAAGGCTGGGTAATATTAAACACACACAGAACAATTCAAAAACTACATCAATATTAGCAAAAAATAGATTCATAGCTCAAACAGTTGGTAATTCTTTTACTTCAGCTGCAATGTCAACCCTTTCAACATCTTCAAGTGCTGAGATGAGTCCACTACGAGTAGCAGTACCTGTCTCTAACCAGGCAATGATGATATCTTTACGTCTTGTCCGGATTTCATGAGGAGCATTGACCTTTATCTCTTGAATAATAGCATTGCTTAGTCCAAGATGAATACCAAACTCTTCTAGTTCAACCACAAGATCTTTTATTGCTTTTAGTATAACAGAAGCATGCCTCTGATCTGTCAATAAATTATACTTAGAATTAAAGAAAAAATAACATAGCTTACCAAGTACATCAGGCAATAAATTAGATGTTGGAGCTGATAAATTACAGCAGCAAAAATCTGTTATAAAAAAAGAGATAATTTAAGTGAACAATTGTTCAATGCTCTTTACCTTTTAGCCAGTAACTCTTTTTCTCACTAATATCATTCAATGTAACAGTTGGTAGTCCACTCTCCTTAC